GTGGTGATCTTGCTTCTTAGGACCCTTTCAAAGATTTTTATGATATGGGATGTTAGTGCTATTGGTCTGTAGTTCTTTGCTGTTGCTTTACTGCCCCCTTTGTGGAGTGGGGCTATGTCTGTTGTTTTTAGTAACTGTGGGACGACCCCCGTGTCCATGCTCCCTCTCCATAGGATGGAAAAGGCTCGTGATAGGGGCTTCTTGCAGTTCTTGATGAACACAGAGTTCCATGAGTCTGGCCTGGGGCAGAGTGCATGGGCATGTCATTTATCGCCTGTTCAAAGTCATTTGGCGTCAGGATAACATCGGATAGGCTTGTGTTAATCAAATTTTGTGGCTCTCTCATAAAAAATTCATTTTGATCTTCGACTCTCAGTCTGATTAGCGGCTTGCTAAAAACTGAGTCATATTGGGACTTGAGTAGCTCACTCATTTCCTTGCTGTCATCTGTGTAGGACCCATCTTGTTTAAGTAGGGGCCCAATACTGGACGTTGTTCTCGATTTTGATTTGGCATAGGAGAAGAAAAATACTTTGGGTTTCTTTCGTTTTCATTTATGCTTTTAGTTCTTCCCGCGATTCTGACTCCTAAAGGATTCTTTTAGCTTAAGTTCGATGCTTGCTATTTCTCTGACCAGTGCTCCTACGCATTTCAGATATATTGACCTCTTTTAGCCGCTCTGTTATTCTTTTTCCGTCGCCTGTAAAGGGAGCGCCTGTCTCTTTCTATTTTACATCTACTCCTCCTTTTTCTTAGAGGAATAAGCCTTGTGCATACATCGACTGCCACCGAGTTAATCTGTTCTAGGCATAAGTTGGGGTCTGTGTTGCTTAGTATATTTTTCCCCAAATTATATCGGTTTGGACTTGGTTTTTCTTGGTCCCACTTTATGTTTTTGTTATTGAAGTTGAATTTGGTGAATGCTCCCTCGTGACTAATCTCATTAAGTCGATCTGAGGCTCCGTGCATACATGACTGAACCTCAATTATGTTGTGATCTGAGTATATTTTTTTTGATATGGTGACATTTCTTATCAGTCATCATTGTTATGAAGAGGGGTCTATGTATTCTCCGTCTAGAGGCTCTATTATTTGGGGTTTAAATTGAATTTTGGCAGAGATTTAAAAGCTCGCGTGGTGGGGTTTTTTCATCGAGCTGCCTCCTGGGTTATTACTGCAAAAATATTATTTGCATATTCCCCCCATTTTAGGTGCCTTAATTTGAAATCCCCAGGGCAAGATGTTGGGTGCAGGAGCGGAAGATTTTCCAGACAGGGGTCAATTTTTAACAGCTGTTCCTGGAATTGCTGGGATGTTGCATCCGGAGGCTTGTAAAACCCCACAATGATAGGTTTTGGTTCTCGACCTTTACTGCAAAACTTCCCCTACTCATTTTAGGGATTTAGCGTTGTGCAAACAAGTGACTCTGCAATGTACAGGCCAACCCCCCCCCCCTTTTCCTTTCATCTGTCAATCTGTAAGGTTGTAACCGGGATCCATATTTCGTTGTCCAAATGTCCTTATGTGGGTCTCGTGAAAGCCGCGAACATTTCCCTTTTCCCCTGCAAGCATCCACGGGGGAAAGATTTTGTTGTTTGTTGCGGGTTTAGACCCTGTATTTTTCAAGAAGAAGTTATCGGACGGGGTATTGTTGGTACGGGGGGGGGGGTTTTTTTTCCGCATTAGTACTGTATTGTTGGGTTTTGGGGTGGGGGGGGCCCCGACTTGGTTCCACTCAGGAATGACGATTTGGTGTACGATTTCTGCCATTTCCTGCCAGTTTTTTTTCCTTCCTGGCACTAAAAAACCTCTCCCTCTTGAGTGGCTGTGGCTACCCAAAGATTTTCCATGGCCTGGATGTTTTGTATCTTTTTGTCCCTTTAGATGGTATGCCTGGCAATTTAAGTTATAGCACAGTCTTTTCTGTACTAAAGAGGTACACAGTTCAGGGTGAAAAAGCTTACAGGAAGGGAGTTTGCATTTTCCTGTTGTCATTGGGCATGGCATTTTCTAGGGTGGTCATAGTTGCACGTCCCATCTGTTTTTCCATATTTCCCATGCCAGCAGATACCGAGTGCATAGTATGTGCACAGGCTTGGTTTCCGTTTGCCTTGGGTTTCTGTGACTGTTTTCCCCTGTTGGTGCATGTTTCCCTGTCTTACTTCTATCCTCCTAGCACCAACAATGGAGCTCCCACCAGTTGTTTTTGGTAATATATCCTCACTATTGCTAGTGGAGTCCTCTTGTTTGCTATTTCCTGCGGTATTTTAGTTTGCAATATGGGTTTTAATTTATCTTTGACTACACTTGTTTCCCTACTATGGCTCCTGTCCCCTATGAGGTCATTTATATGTATTCCTTCCTGCGTATAATTCCCGACTACCTGGACAAAATCTCAGCTTCACCATTACTGTCTCCCAGGACAGCATCTCCAGCTTCACCATTACTGTCTCCCAGGACAGCACCTCCAGCTTCACCATTACTGTTCCAGGACAGCACCTCCAGCTTCACCATTACTGTCTCCAGGACAGCATATCAGCCCCACATTTATGACTACCAGGACATCATCTCCAGCCTTACAGTTTCTGACTACATGGCCAGTAAAAAGGGGCAGTACCATTCAGCCCAGACTTTTTATGTTCCCATCTGTTGTAGAAAGCTTCCAGGTTTTCTATGAAAGCAGCTTTGATGTTGACCTCTTTTAATCCCCTTGTGATTTTAGTCCACAGATTTATCTCATTTGGGCATCCCCAAAAAAACACTTCCCTGTTTTAATACTGCTTGTAGCTAGTTCTTGAATATCTGCACAAGGGGCTGACACCCAATTTCCAAAAAAAATTAAAATTTATGCATGTGGAAGCCCCTTTGTTTGACTGACCACAGACAACTCACAGCTTCATAATGATTTGAATGGTTGATTTACTGGGAATTCTACTAGCAACCTCTTGAATATTCTATTAATAACCTCCTTAAATGAAGCTCTAGCTATTTGTATTTCTGTTTCTAACTGTTTTTGTATATTGGACAGCTTATCGTGCACGTTCCTGATATATATTTAATGTTTGTGTTTATAAGGGCGCCTACAACCCCATCCGTTTACAGTCTGCTTTATTGTCCAACGAAACCGTTTGAAACCAGTCAAGGGTTCGGACCAGTCAAGGGTTCGGACCAGTCAAGGGTTCGGACCAGTCAAGGGTTCGGACCAGTCAAGGGTTCGGACCAGTCAAGGGTTCGGACCAGTCAAGGTTCGGACCAGTCGATCTGATCTGATCAGTGGGTCACTTATTTAAAACATACTGGTCGGTGATTTGAGCTAACACATGAAGGATCTACTGAAAATTATCTACCCGAGAGTGTGTGCTGTGTGACTAAGTTATCAATACAGCTTAAGGCATCATGTTTGGCTTCAAGGCGAAGCTTTGGTTGTGATTTAAGAAGTAGTTTGGGGGGAAATGGAAGAATGGTAGTTTGGAATGGGGTAATATTCCATGGAGCAGAGAAGTGCTGCTGTTGCCCTACTTGTCATAGATCATGTATCTGATTCATGCGGAGGTCAGTTCCAGTTTTTTTCGATCCATCTGGAGGGGTGTTCACCAGTGCTGATGAAAGTTTGCAAGGGTTTGAATGGGTTTGCCTGAGCATATTAACCCCAATTAGGATATTTCTTTCAGTAACACGATCTCTGATGCTTGGAATATCAAGCTCTTTCTGCATATTTAAAAATTTTGCAGTACGAGGGCATCCTAAAAGGTGACTATGCAATAATGCACGCTCCTTCCATGCATGAAACCATGCAACAGGGGAGACAAAATTGTTTGATTATGTACATGAGACGATTAAGAATCATCCTCTCGATTGTTTTACACAAGCAGCTAGTAAAAGATATTGGGCGAAATGCATTTTCTTGATTGGGCTTTAAAATTGGAAAGATGAGGCTGTTGGTCCAAGATTGAGGGAGCTCCCCAGTTACATAGCTCATGTTATATAATTCAAGTAATGGATTACCTGGTACTCGACACAGCAATCTGAGTATGTTGTAAGTAATACCATCCTCACCAGGCGACGTGAAGTTGCCCTTAGTTAGTGCTGCATCAAGTTCATAATTAGTGAAAGGAATGTTAGTCATCTTTCTTGCTGAGCGTAAAACAAACAAGTCTCCCTTGCATCATATTTGTCATTTAATTTTGCCTGTGTGGTGCTGGCGAGAAGAGGCAATTCAAGAAAGTGGCGTATACTTAAATTAAGATGTGAGCATACTTGTGCCTTGTATAAAATCTTGCACCTCTACTTTGCAGAAGAAGGGAGATACCTCTATGTGTTATAAGCTTCCTGGCTGCTTTGTTTGCAAGATTTATAACGTGGTTCTTTATAGTTTGGAATCAAATTTCACCTTTCTCTCTATCTCACAGGTTCTGTCTGTTTCTTTATCTCCCTGTCTCTGTCTATCTATCTTTCTCTTGTCTCTCCTCTCTGTCTCTCTCCGGTTTAAATATTTAATAAAAATTATACTTCTCTTTGGTGTTTGTATTTCTTAATGCGTTTGGTCGTTATCGTACATTTGTCACGTCATTCATAGTAAACAAACGGGTTAATGACTCTTCTGAAGACCTCATGTCCTTACCTTTCTCGAGGAAAATAATGCATCACCGGCAGTAGACATTGCGTTAATGCATCGAAAGTGTATAATAAATTATTTATCACATTTTCAGTGTGAAAGAAATGAGCGAGAAAATCGCAGGTCGTGGCTCGTTTGTTTTCTTCTTTGTTTTTGGCCTGGTGGTAAATGTTGGAACTAGAGGAAACGCATCAACAATGGCTGACAAGTTACGTTAGAATATTGGCCGTGTTTCACCCTCAGTATGACCCTCATGCTGTTATGCCACAAGTACGTGCTATGCAACATTGGTGTAATGCACTAGACGGTGCTCGTGCAACATTTGTCACCTGTTAGGTGTGTTGTTGGCAGGTATAACAAGGCAGTCGTTAACGGGTGGGAGTAGGAGGAGGAGGAGGAGGAGGCTGGGCAGTGTGCTGTGAGCTGCTTATATCTGCACAAATGTTGGGGTGGAGATGACAAGTGTTCGCTGAGGAGGAAATACAACAGACTTAATGAGACGGGTCCAACGCCAGCAATGTCATGGCAGGACCAGAGGTGTGATCTACGGTTCTTTTGGAATGCAGCTAACACTTCAATGTTTCTTTTAAGGGTTTGGAATTGTGTTTATCTCAACCGTTGTAAACGTTTCCTGTTACTTGTCTACTGAATATACTCTGATTTAATGTTAGAATTTTGTATTAGTTATTGTTGATGAAACACTTAAGTGTCTGCTAGAGGAGTGGCTTTAAACTTGCTAGCTAACACTAGTTCACACAAATACAGTAAAAAACATTATTGACAGCATGTTATTTAACTGAATTAAGCAATTCATAACTAATTGTTACTAGTATATAACTCGACCCATACTTGTCCTAATTGATAACATAGTTGTAGCATGCAGTTTGGGTGATAATTTACCATTGACCAGAAGAGATATAATAGCATAACCCACTAAGTGAAGCATGCTTATAATTGATCACTGACTTTTTTGATAATACAGACAATATTTCTTTACACTTCCATGTCTTAGCATTGAAGTCGGCATGACATCTATAGACTTGTTTTGGTGATATTTTTGGTGTGAGCATGAGATGTTAGGTTAAGTGGGAATAAATTGTAAAGAACCTGAAAACCTATGATTATGCACAGCATATTGCAAAGTACACTAGAAATGTCAGTTTTGCTTTATTGGGCTGTTGCATCTTGAAATAATATTAATAATAATAATAATAAATAATAATAATTTTATTTTTACGAGTACATGTGCAAGGTATACAGACCTAGCTGACATCAATTACATACTACTATATAGAAAGCTGCTTGTTATGCAGAGCATTTTGGGCAAATTAGGTCACTTTTATCCCAGGATGTTCTCCCACACGAGTCGACTTACACCCAGGTACCCATTTTATTGATGGGTGAACATAGACAACTGGTGCAAAGAAACACGCCCAGTGTTTCTACCCATGTGAAGCGAGAGCTTTAGCCACCAGTTCACAGGACACTGTAAATGTACATAATGCTTCATTAACATATATATGCTTTCAGAATCATTGTTCAAATAAGTGCTACTGGAAAACCATTTGTAGATTTCTTGAACAAAGGTTGCCTTCTGTTTAACAGCTAACGAGTTCCTGTAATATATGATGTTAGTAAAGATATACTGTAGGAGTTGTCAGATCTTCATCTGTGGGCAGGCTTTGAAAAACGGCATGGGTGTATCCATTGTTACTCGGAAGTAGGAGTGTGTATCACAAGAATGTGTGTGTGTGTTTAACAGACACTGATAATGATATGAAAGCTGCACTGAAAGGTCTAATTTAAATAATGGCATGTTAAACCAGAACTTTACAGATTTTTCACTAATTGGGTAATTGCATGATGAGTAGGTATGCTTATAATTATATGTGGTGCAAATTTTGGAAACTTTTCAGATAATGGGTACTTTTAGGTTGGTGGTTCATTTACTCTTCACATGGCACCATTGTCCCATTATACGGTATACCCAAAGCTAATCGACGGGCTCTCTGACCAGTGTGCAGACCTATGTACATTAGAGCTGATTTCCTCTATTCTGTTTATTACAATATACAGTACACCACTGTATGAACATTTAAAAATATACTAAAAATGTTATAAATGGTGCAAGGGTGACATTAACCCTTAAACTGTCCAAATGTAGATCTACGTTCATGTGCGTAGCGCTCCGACCTTGATTTTCCCCATTTGAAAGCATGTAAAAAAAAGGTAGATCTACATTTGGAGCCCCTCACACGTGGACGTAGATCTACGTTTGGACAGTTTAAGGGTTAACCCATAAACTGTCAAAACGTAGATCTACATTCACGTGCGTAGCGCTCCGACCTTGATTTTCCCCATTTGAAAGCATGTAAAAAAACGTAGATCTACATTCAGAGCCTGCTGCACATCAACGTATATCTACGTTTGGACAGTTTAAGGGTTAAAGCAATATCAAAGATGGTTGACATAAACCCACTACCATTATAGTATGCTCCTTGTTTAGCGATGAATTCGTTTATCGTCGCGGTATTAGAAACAGAACTCCGTCGTTAAGTGAGGAGAGGCTGTAATAAATAAAAAAAAATGTCTAAATTGCCTGTATTGAATACAATCATAAAAATAATTTTACAAATGTATCTACACCTACAGAAATGTTGGTCCATATAGTTGAATAAAAATCTACAAATGGTATTGGCTATGCAGTAGTAGTTCCCCATTTTGCATTGGTCTTTTTCAGTCAGTGCATCCATGTACACCACATACACTAGAATTGCATAATACAACAATGATATGTTCAGGATTCCAAAGATTATTAAAATTATAAATGCATTTCAGTATCCATGTCTGCTTTTACAAAAACAAGCAACAATGCCTCTTAATTATAGTACTGTTTTAAAGTACACTGGCTATATGACTGGCAGTCAGGGCACCCAAATGTAAACAAACAGCATTGCTAGATATGCCATACTTATTTATTTTCAATTTGCTAACCTATACACTGTACAGTACCTAATAGCCATGTAGTAACATTGCTGGAAAAAGTGTAGAAGTTTTCAAGAGGAAACAGGATCACTTGTCTCTGCCAAGTGTCAGATCACTCAGTCAGTGATGACTGTGGGCCAACAATCTCCCAACACCAGTTGCCTGGTTGACCAGACAATCAACTGGAAAGCTGGGTTTCAAGGGTAGAAAACCTTAAAACTGGTCACATGTACATCATATTTAAGTGCATTGTGAAGCATGAAAAGTTTGGAATATAGCACACCTGTCATTAGCTATTTCTCACCTCTGATAACCCTATTAAGCTTTGTGAAGCTAGCTAAATGTGGTCTGTGCAAGCATCAGCTGGGACTGCACATTCACACATGACAGCAGAGGAGGGAGTTGGAAACTGGCCTCCTCCATCAAACAAAGCCCCCAACATACCATCAATACAACATTTATTTTTGTGAATACGTCTAAAGCCATCAACAAACAACAAAATACCTTTCATCAGTGGATTGCTCACGGAGTCTAATGCAGTGTTTGCAGCTTTCACAGAGACCCACATAAAAGATCAGTTTGACAGTGGAACATGGATCCCAGGTTATGACTCGTTCAGATGCAACAGAATACACAGGCAACAAGGGGTATATGGCCTGTATGTAATAGTCACTTATTTGCTTGCAATTACTAAACACCTCAAATGATGTAGTTCAACTTTTGGCAGTAAAGATTGAAAACCAAAACTTTGTCATTGTGGTTGTATACAAGCCTCCTGATGCAACTTCCCAACAATTCCAGGAACAGCTTTTGAAAATTGACCACTGTCTGGAAAATCTGCCAACTCTGGCCCCCAAACATCTTGCTGCCTGAGTGATTTCAGCTTAAAGACACCTAAAATGGAGGAATGTAACAAATAATGTTTCAGCAGAGATAGCCCCTGGAGGCAGCTCACATGAAAATTCACACACACATGAGCTATTAAATCTCTGCAACAAATTCACCTTAAGCCAGCAAATAGCGGAGCCAACAAGACTGGAAGGTACACTTGACTGCATCTTCACTAATAATGATGATCTGATATGAAATATAACAGTATCAAAGACAATACACTCAGATCATAACATAATAGAATTACGGACAAGTATGTGCAGGGCTCCTGACCAGTATGTACGTATTAGGTGATCAGTTATGAGAGTGCCTTCACCAAATTGAACTTCAATAACGAAAACATACAGCGGATAAATCAACCATATTCTAAATGAAACAAGCTGGGAAGATATCCTAAACAACATAGATCCAAACCTTTGCCTAGAAAGAATTAACTCTTTGGCACTTGAGGTATGCTCAAGGCACATTCCATTAAGAAAAAGAAAGAGAAGATGTAAACTAGAAAGAATGAGATGCTCCCTATACAGGCAAAGGTGAAGAAGCACAGAGCCGTTGATGGGGCCAGTATATTTGAAATATGAAAGGAGGCACTGGACAGAGAAATAGGAAAATCAAACTTAAGCTTAAGGAATCATACAGGAGACAAGAAACACAGGAAGAGCTTTGTCATAAATGAGATTGAAGAAACCCAAAATACAGTGGACCCCCGGTTAATGATATTTTTTCATTCCAGAAGTATGTTCAGGTGCCAGTACTGACCGAATTTGTTCCCATAAGGAATATTGTGAAGTAGATTAGTCCATTCAGACCCCCAAACATACACGTACAAACGCACTTACATAAATACACTCACATAATTAGCCGCATTGGGAGGTGATCGTTAAGCGGGGGTCCACTGTACTTCTTTTCTTATGCCAAATCTAGGGCAAAAAAAAATCTAGTATGGGACCCCTGCTTAGACGAAATGGGACTTACACAGATGACAGCAAAGAAGTGAGTGAGATACTGAAGTTCCAATATGACTCGGCATTTAGTGAGCTGTTAACCAGACTGAGAGTCGACAATCTAAATGAATTTTTTATGACCGAGACTCAAAACTTGATTAAAAATATCTCTTGATATTATCATAACACCACAAGACTTTGAAAAAACAGTAAATGACATGCCCATGCACTCTGCCCCAAGCCCAGGCTCCTGTAACTCCGTGTTCATCAAGAACTGCAAGAATCTCCTTCCATGTGCCTTAAGCATTCTATGGAGAGGGAGCATTCACATGGAATTACAGACATACACCACAAATGTCTCGCATCATAAAACTTTCTGAATGGTTCCAAGAAGCAAGATTGCCAGCCACTTAGATACCCATCAGTTGCACAACCTTGGGCAGAATGGGTTTAGAGCAGGTCACTCCTGCCTATCCCAACTACTGAACCACCATGACACGGTCTTGGATGCTCTGGAGAACAAACAAAATGCAGGTGTAGTATACATGGACATTGTGAAAGACTGTGACAAGTGTGATCATGGTTTATTAGAAAAATAGAAAAAAACAGGAAAATTGGTAGATGGATTTATAACTTCCTAACAAATAGAACACAGAGTAATAATAAACAGAGTAAAGTCAGACGGAGTTACAGTGGAAATGTCTGTTTCACGAGGTA